CTATGTGCCCTCCATGTACCTGAAGCTCTACAGCAGCCCCAGCTTTGGCCTTCAGACACTTCAGAGGAAACTTCACAGCTCCACTATCAACCTGTCCAGCAGCAACTCTTTCAAACTGGAGCCTCAGGTCCCCTCACGAAACAGAATAAATAGTTTCCTTAAATCAAACTCTCTGGAAATTCTGTCAGAGCCGATACAGCATGAGGAAGCTGGCAGCTTCAGCGATGATGGAACCAACTTCAGCTTCAGTTCCTCAGACACCACCTCCATGAGCCCAAGCATGTCCAGCTCAGAGGGGGAAGAGGGCCTGAGACAGCAGGATAGAGAGAGAGACAGCAATGATTGTGGTATGTCCAGTGGTCAGTCCAGCCCCACCAGCTCAGACACTGATCACCCAATGAAAGGAGTCGAAGCTCCCAGGGTGCCACCCAGACCACAAACTCAGGAGATCCTATGTCGCTGCACGACCTACACCCGAAAAGTTGCTCTGGCGACCTCTGCACGCCTGGCCCCTGAAAGAGAAGTCATGGTAGATGAAGGGAAAGCATGAAAGGGGTGCACATGACCTTCTTTTTGATCGCATTTGAGTATAGTACAACGATATTAATCTGGGTTCTTTGTCATCTCTTTGTAATCCTTGGTGGGGCTATATAAATAGTATAAATATTGAATTAATCAAATATATTATACATAACCTGTTAAAAGTAGTTACAGTGTACATATTTAACTTTTATTTCTCACAGTTTTATTTTTTCATTAACGTTGTATTCAGACTGTTATCTTTCATCTTGGAGCTAATGGTCTTCCAAATATAAAAAATATTTGGACTTTGTATATATACCTGCACAAGTTTCAATAAATGTTTTAACTTCATTTTAATGCTTTTGATGTCATGACGTTTTTCATGGAACCTTAATATATACAGGCACATATTTGCGCACACACACATAAAGCATATTAGCACACTGGTATATCAACATATTTAGAATGATTTCTGAAGGACCATGTGACACTGAATTATTCCAAACATTTATACGTAGCTATAACATAAGTATCTGTCAAAAAGATGAACCAAGTTCTTGAGTAGGCTAACTGAATACAGAAGCAAGCACTCAAAGATTTCCAGATAATGAAACACTGATAACTACAGAGACTCAGTGTAGACCACCTCATGCATAAAACAAACTAAATTATTCCACTCAGTGTTACTATACATTTGGGCTTATCTTAAGAATATAAGTAATTGTTATCATCATCAACGAATTGAGTTTGTTTTTGTGAAAGTTCCCCTGTGTAATTATGTTGGTAAGATGAAAAAGTCAGCTACCGCTAATAAACTTTAAACATTAACATAAAGAGTGGCTGGGATTTATTTAAAGGAACCTGCATTTCCTTATATGAAAAATAAAATCAGACATTCTCAGAAACAGTTTGCCACCCTTTATTACTTGTTTGTTGATTATTATTAGTAGTCATTATAGAGTATTCTGCCCGTATTTGAGTATCCAAAGTCCTCACAAATTCCACTTATGTCAACATGGCAAAGGATAATACAGTACTGAATGCGACAGATAAATAACTTTACAGCCTAATATCTACATTTGCTCACTACATTGATGATTCCACTTCCAGTTTTTCCTGTATTCTGGAAATTGCAGTGGTTTTGATTGTAAGTTTCATCTAGATTCCTTTTTCTGAATTCTGTTATCCACATTAAAATCCCAGTATAATCACATATATGCTATCTGTAAACAAGTGAGCGCCAAAAAATGCAATGAAAAACATTAAGTCATTTTATCCATAAGAAGCACAGCTTACCTACTGACCGATCTTACGCCATTCGCCCTTGTACATATGTACAAACCAGTACAAGTTGACCAATACAAACTGGTGTTTTCTTTATTGTAAAAAACCTTCTTAGCTTTTGCTAAAGTTTTGCAAATAGCATTGTTATTTAGTTTAACTGTTAAAGTGTGGGACATACATTCAGTTAAAGTGTTTATTGACACATTTTTTCACATATAATGATTTATGATATATTCTATTGTGCAGAGAATGCTGCTGCGTGTTCGTTGGCCATTCAGGCCTGTGTGTTTAGAGAATAGGGCTTGTAGCCTCTAGAGCAGGCAGTCATTGAAGTTCGCTGGTTTCCATAGCAATGCCTTTGTCTAATAAGTAAAACCTAGATGGTACCAAAATAGGGTCCCAGTGGTTAGTGTAAAAAAGTTGTCAGGTGCTAACCACATTCGTGACTTGTGCTAGAATGGAAAAGAAGAGAAAATGGTACATCTGTAATGCATGTCTGAATGATCCAGGGTCAAGTGATCTCCTTTGGGATGTTTTGCTGTGTGTTGTTTTGACAGATGCCTGCCTTTTTGCCTCTACAAATTATTCAACATATACAGCATCTGTATTAGCTGTGCCCTGGTATCATAAGTCAAAATGGTGAGTTTTTCCTTTTTTAATTACATTATATATTAAAAAAGATATTTGTGGAAAAAACATGTACAGTATATATTTATATTTTACAAGCTAAAACTTACAGTATGTTATATAAAAAGTCTGATAATATGCAACATGAGTAATTTATAATTAAAATCCATTGAAATAGTTTGATTTAATTTTAGTAGTTATATCAGTAATAATACTAGTATCCATATGACATTAAAATACAAATTGAGTTATTATTATATATTACTTTTTTATTTGATTTTGGTTTTAGACTGGAGGTTATGAAGTGGAGCAGTTTGTGGATACCCCAGATGATGATCTGATTTGTGTCATCTGTAGAGCAGTTCTACTCTGTCCTGTACGACTTAAATGCAACCATGTCTTCTGCAAAGAGTGCATTTTACAGTGGATGAAAAGGTAACAACTTAATATTTGATAATAAGATAAACCAGATTAAGGGGAAAATAAGGGGGCAAAAAATGAGGTAGGAAAGTAACATTTCTTGTCTAAGTTATAATTTGTGACTTAATTGGTATAACCGGTATCATCTGAATTGGGAGGTTCTCTTGAATCTTATATCTTTATCTTAATTTGATGTATATCATACATCCTGATGGGAAAGCTTTCGTCTGCATGTTTTTGAAAGAAGTCTCTTATGCTTTGCAAGGCTTCATTAATTTGATCAAATATACAGTAAAACCAGTAATATTGTGAAATATTACAAATTACAAAAGGTTTCTTTTTGAATATATTTTTAAAAAATCATTTATTCCTGTGATTTTCAGCAGCCATTACGCCAGTATTAAATATCACATGAGCTGATTTGGTATTCAAGAAAAATTCTGAAAACACTTCTTTTTGTAATATTTCACATATTTTTGAAGAAATCTTGATTTTTTTCGGATTCTTTGATAAACAGACCGCATTCATTTGAAATAGAATTTTTTGATTGCATAGTAAATGTTTTTACTGCCCCTTTTGATCAGTTTACTTAATCTTACTTCTATTTTGAAGTAACTCATTGGATGTTTGAGCAAATGTTAAAGTCAGTGTTGTTTCAGACAGGTGAAATGCCCATGTTGTAGGCAGCCTATCGACCAGAACCAAATGCTGGTTTTGTTTAAGCTGAGTAAATCCATTGGCCGTTTATCAATCAAGGTAGGCAACTTTTTTAAAACTCAAGTCTAAAATACAGTATAGTAGTTAAAGTTCTAGTACTTAAACTGTGAATTTGAAACAACTCCATATTGTGTTCTTAGTGTCGAAATGCACAGCAGGGCTGCAGGGCCACTTTCCCGCTTTCTAACGAGTACCTCCACATCTCCAGCTGTCCGTATGAGTGGCAGCTCTGTCCCCATGAGGGCTGTGGGAAGCAGGTGCTGAGGAAGGACGTGCAGGCGCATGATCAGAGCTGCAGCCACTGGCGGCAGCCGTGTCCCATGGGCTGCGGGACGCTGCTCGTCCGTGAGAATCAGGCCCAACATAACTGCTACCGAGAACTGCAGCAGCGCTATGTAGCCGAGCGGCGGCAGCAAAGGGCCATCGCAGCCAACCTGCGCAGGAAGATGCAGCGCATGCAGAGCCGGATGGCACAAATAAGGAGGCAGATAAACCTGATGTGTGAGAGCCTGGAGGTTGGAGATCTGGAAATTGAAGCAGGGGAGGGAACCAGTGCTTGGACTGATGCTAATGCCGCCAGTCCGAGCGGCAGCAGACACCGTCACACCAACAGCAGCAGTACAAGAGTCAGATTTATATAGCATAAATACCCTTCAGGATTCAAAGAGAGCATTCAAGTTCGTTTTTTATGTGCGCGTGTTTTATTAAATGTGTCTTTCCACTTTTATAGACATCTTAGGGGATAGTTCACTCAAAAATTAAAGTTGTTTATTCACCTTCATGCTGTTCCAAACCTATATAACTTACTTTCGTTTGTGACACATAAAATAAACTATTTTGAAGAATGTTTCAACTGTCCATACAATAAAAGTCAAATGGGGTCCAAAACAACATTGTATGGACCAACAAAAAAAAACAACAACAGTGACATCCGCGTGTTCCACAGAAGAAAGAAAATCACTGGTAGCTAACATGAGTAGCTAAATGCCAACATGAGTAGCTAAATGATGACAAAAAGTTTATTTTTGCGTCTACTATCCCTTTAAGGGTAGCACAACACACAGTTTTACAGATTTACTGAGAAAAGAGAAAAGCATGATGGTAAACAAAATAGTGAAGATTTTCGTTGCACATTCCTTCTACAGCTTTGAGAGGTTAATAAAGTGAAACATTGATGCTAATGCATAAATATTAAAAAAGAAAAACGATTTTTGAAACATTCAAATGCCTGCTTAAGTTCAGACAATCTTGAAGTGACACTTGACAAGAAAATGTGAAATCGTACAAAAACCGTCTTTGATATTATATGATAATTTATGATGTAAAAAGCAAACACTTCTGGAACATGTATGTAAGACTTTTTTCAAAAAAGAGTTGTATTTCATTCTAAATATAAATTCTTAAATAAATTCATTATTATTTGATATTTATTGATTATTACTAATGCTTATTTGTCTAATTTAAGCCATTGTGGAAGTTCAGCAAATAATCAGTTGTCCTCAGGACATAAACACAATAAAGTAATAAAATGGTTTATTCACACATTAAGCCACTGGTACGATAAGAATAACTGATTTGGATTTCCGGGGTGATAGGAATTTTACCCACTGTGCCTTGTAATGACTGTATAAGGAGATGTCTGATCTATTTAGAGAGAATATGTGTGAGAGCTACTGACATTTTGCATTGTGCTGTGATGTTTAAATGAAGCCGAATGAATGAAGCCTACATTACTAGAAGTTTGTTGAAGTTAAATGAGCGAGTTCTGTTACTGGTGTATTGGCATGTCTGTTCCACAAGGAGGCACTACTGTAGTTCTGCAGAACGTTCCAGATCACACCTGTCAGTGGAGGCCATAGAGGAATGCTGGGAGAGCTTTGCAGGGTATTGTGGGAAAGCTAGAGGGTTGTCCATCCCAGAGTGCATCAGCGGCAGGTATATGTCATCCATGTTGGGCAAAACAAAAACTTTCTGGAAAAATAATTGCACAAGATTTGTTGTGGGGGTCAATGTAAACATTGTGCATTAAATAATTTAACTAAAATAAACAATTCAATTCAATTAAAGTGCCGTGCCAAGTTGTGGAAAAACACAGTCTTTGCATTGCCTTCCTTCTGATCCCAACGTTAGGAAAGAGTGAATGAACTTTATTTCTAATGAAGTTCCAGACCACGTCAGAAAGAACTTGGTCCTTTGTTCACTTCATTTTACAGTGGATTCGTTTACAAGCAAAGCACAATTCGACGCAGGATTTTCATAAAGACTGAAACTAAAAGACAATGCTGTTCCGAAAATATCGGATCTGGCACTAATGTCACCTATTACTTCTAAATTCTGATGTTTTTTTTTCATGTTAAACTCTTGATAACATTATAAGTGGACCTCAGAGAACAGTACAAAATAATAAATAAAGGCAGTTCATGACCCCTTTAAATTAAATTAGCTGCCATATGCTTAACATGTTCACCAATTTATAGTGAAGCTCCTGACATCATAATATCATCAAAACAAACCTGAAACTCATCCTGCAGCTTTTTTTCAATCCATTCAGTTACATGACAGAAAGTCACTTCTCGCTCTCCCAGTTTGGGTCTGACTCTTAGATCAAGCTTCGGGGGTCCGCAGAAACTGTACCTGAGAGAGAACCAACAAAACACTTACAAATCTGGGGCATGTATCCAAAGACATGTCTGCAAGCCTGAATGCATATAATGATTTATAGGCAAAGAGTGGGCCGATTTTATATAATATTTGGTTTGCACTAAAGGGTATTCTTTTAAAGTATACTATTTCCATAATAAGTAGTATTTTGGTAACACTTTATTTTAAGAACCAATTTTCACTATTGTTGCTTATTAGCATGCATATTACTAGCATATTGCCTGTTTATTAATACTTACTTATAAAGCATTTATAAATGCCTTTTTCTGCATGACCAGTGTTGGGTCATGCAGCTAATTACGTTACTTAGTTACTTTTTATGGAAAGTAATGCGTTATGTTACTTTTGCGTTACTTTTTAAATCTGGACAGGGCTTGCTTGTTTGCTTTTAAAATAAAAAAGTTTTATTTTTGGCAAATATAAAAGCCTTTTCACACCAAAAGTGAAATGAATAAGCCTCAGGCTGAAGGGAAAGTAAATGTACGTCCGTACAGTA